TGATCCTAGGGTGAATATCTGCTTTTTATTTATTCTATGTGTGATTTCCTTATTGTAGTGGAATAGTGACTCAATTTCCATTTCAGTCTTATAGATCCAGCCAGAATCCATTCCTTTTACTTTCTCCTTCTCTGTTCCATGATTTTCAGCTGCAGCTTGATTCCTCTTAGTTTATGGAACTGCTTATTTTTCCAGGCCAAATCCACATCTGATTTTAAGCCTCTGTCTGATCAAAGGCTTGAGACAATTTCTCTTTATAGCTAGAAATGTGTTTTCTGGGTATCTAGGCACAGGCTGCTAGAGCTATAAACTGGTACCAGATTTTTATCCAAGATTTTATGTAAATACAATACTAATCCCACTCTGCAAAAATAAGTTGACCATCAGGCAGGGCTTCCCTCCTTGTTGGCCATGTATTAGGGTCCCCCTCATTGGCACAGATGCCTTCCTCTTGCTAGGTTTTGAATCATCTATTGTGTTAATTGTTCCATTGGTAAGTAAACCCGGAAACCCAAAATTGCTAACCTTGAAACAGCAACAGAATCCACTAAGTAGGAAGGACTGTTTCATAATTATTTTTGCCATGCCCTAGGATTAGATAACTAATTGTACAATGAAGCTCTTATACTATGGAGGAGGAATTTAGGGAGGGAAGGGTGGTTCTCTTTTCTTCTTTCCTTTAAAATACTGAATGGTATCTTCAATACAGCAATAATTCTGTTTACAGTTTGCCCAAATTTGTTTCTGGATTTATATTTCAATATGCTCTTTAGGATGCAAAATTCCTGTCAAATTAAAGAGTGCTCATGTCTTGCCCGCTTCCAGCAAATCACTTGCAGCACCTAATAAATCCAGCGGGGGTTCCTTCCATGGCCTGATGCTGCTGAAATCATTATTGTCCTGCCTTGTTTCATGTCAGAGGCCTCTTCGTCTCATCTGTCATGAAACCAATTTCACTTTATTTACATCCATTTGCTAGTTTAATTACTGTGCTGATGAATAGCCTGAAGGAATTAAGTTACGAGTCTTTGGAAACCCAAAGCGACAGATATATGGGCTACCTTTTAACTACAGGGAAAGAAATGAAGGCTAGTGGCATGTACCAAAATTTAAAGATAATACGTGTTCCTCCCTATTCAGCTACTCTTGAAATTCAGGATGATGATTTCTTTATGGATTCATCATCTCCTAGGTGAAATTTAAGGCTTTAGAATTCCTCATATTTGTAGGCTGACTGCAGTTCACCAATACAATGAAATGCTTTTTTTTAACTAGGAGTTACAGATGATTTTCCAATCAAACCAAATAATCTCTAGTAGTGACACTTTAAATTAAAGGCACCTACCAGTATTAACCTTCCCCTGTAGCTGAGAACTTCACTTCTATATAAAGACAGATAGGTTTGAGAAAATGAAAAAACATTTAATACAGTCAATCTATTGTGCAGTACAAAGCACTCCACTTTCATACTATAAATATTGTAGATTTCATTATATAATTTTATTTCTTATAATTGAGCATAATTTCTCAATTACCTTCTATAATGTGTTTTTAAGTCATAAATAAGAACATTCTGCTGTGCTATCTCTCCTTTCTGTGTCCAGTATAATAGAGTACTATGGTCTATGTTAATGACAGAGAGCTTTTAGTGTGAGTGAATACTAAGCTCTCAAATATGTATAAGCAGTGAATCATTTGCATATATATTTTTCAACCTAAGATCAATAAACTTTTTAGTCATTCCATTATCTTATAAATCTAACTACTACAGCATAAAATTACTAATCATGACAATAATAAAAAAGAATTTTCTAGGATATTTTCCCAAATTCTATCATTAATTATAGATTTAAAAACAAAGTTGGTAATCTAGAAATTGTCTGCATGTGGCCCATTCTCACTCACTGCCAGTTAAAACAATTAAGTAAATATGCCAAAACTGATGTTTTATTTTCTATTTTGTCTAGTCCCAGGTAGCATGACACATGAAAAGAATGTAATTTTCAAACCTAAGTACCTGTTTTCCTTTCATTCTTTCTGAAACAGATTCTGACATTTAAAAAATCTATACTTTCATTATTTCCCTAGAAATGATGAGTTTGAGGCATATGACATACATATTCATCACTTCAAGAAAAATTTAAATATTTTTCATACAGATTTAGTATACTCCCTCAGTTACAGCATCTTCATACTGAGTATATAATTACTCCTCGAATTGTGCCAGCTTTCTTATCTAGTTATCTAATTGAAAAGTATTTTTAAACATTCAAAGGCAAGAGATATTTCTATACAAAGCAGAAATGAGAAAGATTGTGGTTTTAAATGTCTTCTCATTTCCTCTCATCCTATCAGAAAGAAATAACTTTTTTCATCCTGTTTCACTGGTCAAAAAGCCAGCTTAAAAGAAGGAACAAAAATGTAAACATTTTCTGTTTACTAGCAGAACCAAAAGTGGCAAAAACTCTACTGTCCCTGCACATATATTCCAATAAATTATGTATTCATTACAAATTCCCCAGGCACCTCCTCCATGCCTCTTTGCACCCCCTAAATACACATTTTCCCTATCCCCCCTCACGACTTTTAATAAAGCTCATCTACTAAACAGCATAGCAACAACTTTTTTTTTTTGTACCGAGATAGTCTTGGCTATAAATTTTTGCAATAAAGGAAACCTAAACAGGATACTCCAGGTAAAATTCCTTCTTATTTCAATAGAACCAGACCCTATGCTAATTCTTTAGCACACATGTATGAACAGCGTTTAACTTGACAGAAAGGGAATCTGTACTACTGGGTCTTCTTTAATATTTTTATGCATTTTTAAATAAAAGAAATGAACATGAAGGGGGTTTAACATGCTTCCTCTTTCCCTCTCCCCCTCCCCCATCTCTCTCATTCTCCCCCTTTGGAAGACTCTCTCCTCCCTCTCCAGCTCTTTTTGATTAATAGATCCATGTGGCTAACGGCCTGACATATGGTGTGCGAAGCAGCTTGAGATAGTACCTTAGGCATCCCCTACGGCCATTAACATATTAGGGGCTTATGTGCAGTCAGACAGTCAGACCTCATCTAGAGCCAGCATTTTCAGAAAAGCTGCACCCCAGAGCTGTTTGATAGAGAGTTTCAATAATGCACCACTCTCCGATTTTAAGGGAGTTGCTCTGGTGTGAAACACTGGGACAGAATTGGAACAAAGTTTAGAAATAAGATTCAGTTACACTGGACAACAGAAAAAAAAATGTGCTTCAGGTCTGTTTGTATATGGATATGCACGTGGAGGCACAGCTTTAAGCTCACAAATGCTCACCAGCTCTCGAGTATCATCAGTAAACAGGCAACGTCAGCTGCCTGGATTTATTTTGTTTAAAGATTCATTTTGCTTAAAGTCTTCTTTATACCTAGAATACTAGCAGTACAGTAACAGTACAGTTACCGATAGGAATTCTTCAAAAGCAAGACCAAAACAGTTAGAAGAGACACTACTCTGAAGCATGGAGCTTGATTTTCTTTCCTAGTAGAAACACTTTAAAATCTGTGAGCCATAAAACAAGAATGGATGCGATCATATTTTAATAACATTTGCAGATCAGAACCCCATAGAGGCAACAAATCTTATTGTACAAAATCTAAAAGTTTACAAACAAAAACGTCTTTACAACAACTCTGAAGGGTGGCTAAAAGTCTCTACGATGCACATGTGTTTACATTTTAAAAATTGTTTTTGGTGAAGGAGATATATTCAAAATCAAAGCATACGTGCCACTTGAAGCTTACTTAATTCACTTTAAGCTCATAACTTGAAATTCGCTTTGCCCAGGCTCTTCTTCCAGCCTCCCGCTGATAAACCACTGTACCCCTTTTGAACTGTACTCGGGCTGTTTGCTTGGCAAATAAATGCTGTTCCGCCCTATTAAACCTTTTAGGTGGTTTCATCTTCGGATTTCTCAAATACAGAGCTAATAAGGAGGTGCTTTGAAGCTGTTTTACTTTCAAACTATGGCCCTGAGGCGTTAAAAACGCGCAAAAGGTAACTAGGAAAAGTAAATTGCCACGAGCAAGGCGCACCTCCCACCCCTTTCAAAACCGCTCTGACCCTCTGCGGTGCACTGCGTGGTGGCCAAATATCGCCCCGTTCCTGTGCAGAGCTGCGACCCGTTGGCAGCCCCTGGGGTTCTGAACCGGTGCCACACCACCAACGGGGTGAGGAAAGAGTAGGCACTTTTAAGTTTAAACGCCCAGTCTCTTGGGGCAGGGGAAAGACGGGAGGTAGAGATCCAAAAGCTTTCCCAAAGTTTATTCTAGACAAACTGGTATGAAGTGGAAGGTAAAGATTCGGATTCTGCAACTTCTTTCAGCAGCAAGAAAACTTTTACATGAAGCGTGGCGGTGGTGCCCGAGTCTGCTCTTAGGCGCTGGGGAGGATTTCAAACCTCGGGTTCAAATTACACCTTGGAGGAAAGACTCTGGCTCAAATGCGTGCCTCAGATACACCTGATCCTCACACCCTCCGCGCGCACGCACACACATCACACACGCGCGCGCGCGCGCGCCACACCTTGGCTTAATACGGGCGCAGGAAGCAATTGAAACGTATCCGTTTTATTTAAAACTGAACAAAGGCGTCACTGACTCATTTAGGTCCATTTCCAGAAGAAATGCAAGCCCTCGGGAAATACCTCTGCCCAGAGTCCAGTGGATCCTATCTGCCTTTCCAAATGCATGAATTTCCATTGCTAACTCATAAAACACGTTTTAAAATTGCGCAAAGTGCAGAGCGGTAGAGCGCCAGTGCCAACCTCAGAGGTCCTTGTCACAGCTAGCTTCTCTTTCTTTCATCGCAACCCTTTCTCAAAGTCGCATAAGTGGTCAAAATTAACATAAATCATTATTAGTTATTAGAATTTGCTCTAAATTACATTGTGTATATCGCACCAGCCCCATCTGCCGCCCCTGCTCTCACAGCAATAGATTGCAGATAAAATAAATGTCCTTACCCCATTAGAAGGTTCCTGTCTCTGTAGCCAAAAGCCAAACAAAAGCAATAAATACCGGGCTTTTTCTCTCCACTATTCAGCTGTGACTCTTTTCATCAGCTCTTCCCCTAGAAAAGCTCAATAGCTGCCCGAAAATATTGCATTTTATATCAGCAAAGGGCGATTAATATTGCATTAACTGTATTTAACATTTTTTAAGCGCGAGTAATCTACAATGAGTTAGTTTCTGTTGGTAAGTACAGGGGGTATCAGAACTACTGCAGACCACGGAAGATATCCGTGTGAACGTATTATTTGCTTCACACCGTGCATTTATATAGAGAGATAGATATACACACATATGTATGTATGTATGTATGTATATAATGTTAGAGGGTACCGCGCGATGTTTGAAGTGGAAGAAGCCGCGCTAATGGTCTGCTTAAAGTATTCTGACCCTGTCTGGAGACAGCCAGGTCTCTGCCTTCATTAAATGTTTATTGTCAACACTTGGCGGGGCGCGGGGCGGGGGGAACAGAAGCTGGTTTAAGTGAATTTCCACGCTGGAAATGGTCAACACTTTCTTTCACTCTGATCCACGTATACGTTACGCTGCACGGAGGCCAGGCGTCAGAGACATCCGAACAACTTCTGTCGGTAATTCGTTTTCCCCACTCAGTGCTCGAGGTCGTTCTTGCCCCTCCACCCTTCCCTTAGCCAGTTCTCCTTCCAGGATCCCCTGGATCCCTTTCCGTTTCCCTGCGCCTCTTTTTATCCTCATCACTTTCTAAATCGGAAAGAAGCGACCTCCTGCGGATGCGGGCGCCGGGCACAGACAGGGACGCAGACAACTTTTTGCCCCACTACTCAGTTCCAGGGAGTAGGACCGGGATCTCTGGCTTCTCTCGGTGTCGAGACTTCCGACCTCAGCTTTGAAATTTAAGATCCCACTGAGGTGCCCAGGACGAAAACCTAGCAGCAGCCAGCTTTCCTAGCGCCCAGGTAGAAACCCTTGTCTGATAAAGTCCATTCGGTAACAGGGTTTGGTAATGTGCGCCTTAACACCACCACCGCCACACACACACACACACACACACACACACACGCCAAGGCCGTATCCCTCTCAATTGTTTCAATTGCTTCAAAACACACAAACCAGTTTTGAAAGTTTTGTGGCGCTCAAGGTGACTGAGGCAAACTGGCCGGCTCGGCGGAGGGGCAAAGGGCAAGAGTCTTTAACCTCTAGGAGACACTGGTCCGTTCCCTTTCCTCTCCGAACAGCCTCAAAGACACTTACGAACGGGACCGGACCTCCGGGAGCGCCCACCTTGGAGCAGTGGGACGCCAACTCTCCTCGCCTCAGGGACTCGGCGCGCAACGCGCATGTGCGGGCTCGGCGCGCTCCCCGCACGCTCGGTGCGCGCCCCGCCACCCCCGCAGCCGGCGCCCTCCGGCCACCTCTGCGCACGCGCGCCGGATGCCCAGGCCTCAGGCTGTTAACCGGCTCGGGCCCTCTGGGTCCTGGCTGACACCCGGTCAGGCCCCGCTGGCCGGTCGCTGTCCCGCCGTCCGAGTGGCGCTGCGACCTCCAGCAGCTGGAAGCCTCAGGGCAGGCGGCGCAGGAGTGCCGACCGGGCGGGTCGCCGTCGTTCGCCACGGACGCGGGAGCCGCGGCTCGCGCGCTTCGGGGCGCTGAACCCCCCGGGCTGGGGGTAGCGCAGTGGGAGAGCGGGAACCTCGCGGCGGGTCAGGGGTGGGTGGGTCCCCTCCTGGCTGCAAATTCGACCCAATCAGTTCTGCTTGGAAAAGGCACACCTCAGCCTGTCCGCCCCGAAGTCCTAAAGCCACCGGCAGCCGGAGAGGACACAGAAGCCCCCCTGAGACCGCCTCGGAAGGGACTGCTGGAGTCGGGGTAGCGCTCGGCCGCCGACTCCCAGACCCGCGTCCGGCGCTTCCCGCGCACCGCGTTTCGGGGAGGGAGTCCGAGAGGGCCGTCCGTCTCCCGTCAGGCTGACTTGACAACAATTACGAAAGTTTTTAATTAGCGTCTTGTTATCATTCCTTTTATTAATTTCCAGAACTCTGCGGTCGTGAATTATTCAAAGGGCGAGCCGACCCGAGAGGCGCGGCCGCGCGCCCTCGCCACACGTGCGCGGCCCCACTCCGGCCGCGCCGCCAGCCCGCTGCCCTGGGAGCCCGCGCGGCGCCCGGAGCCGCGGTGGCGCGAAGGTTTGATCAAATATTAAATAACGTAATTATAGCGACACGGCTTATCTCGCAGGTGGAAAAGAGGCCCCCGTGAGAATTAGAATTCGGCTGCTATTTTTAAAAAATCAATTAAGCTTGCGGTCTTCTTTGAAAGGGCCCGTCAGGACCGCGCGGCTCGGGTCGTGGCGCTGACACTGAGGCGGCAGAACCGAACCGGCAGTGTTTGTGGACATCACCTCCAGCGTCCCGCTGGCGTCCAAGGCCATTATAATGGGATGGGGAATGCTGGCTTTAGACGAGGTCCAAAGCCCCAATTCCAACTCCAAGGACCAAAATGTTGAAAGCCCACCCGCGTGAACGACGGAGCAGGGGAGCGTTACGCAGGTGCGGCCCGGAGCGGCTGGGAAGCTGGGGTAGCGACCCAGGGCTGAGGCTGGGGAGTGGAGCAGGGGCTGGCCGGAGGGGTACGGCGGGCTGAGGGCCGGGTCCCTTCTCTGCGCGGCCGCGTGTGGGAGCGAAGTCCTCATACCACAAGAAAGTAAAAACCGGTACAATCAAGGCAGCGGGTGCCTACGGTTTATTTATGAGTGTCATCGAGTGTGAGAGCAATGTCAGAACGTGCATTAAACAAAAACGTATTCGGAAAGTAGTTGATGAGTCTTCAGAACGTCGTTTCTTAGACCTACAGAAGGAGCAGGACCCCGAGCTTGGACGGCAGAAAGGAGCAAACTGAAGACGGTGGCCTAAAGGTGACAGACGCATTTGACGCTTATTTTTCTTTTGCCTTCCCTGCTCCACCGCCTGGATTTCCTGAGAAGCTGAAATGCAAGCGGAGCCCAATTTTCCCACTCTTTCAAACTCACTTTGAGATTTTCTTTAAAAGAACCCGAGCCACACATTTTATTCGCAGCCACTCATAGGGGTGGCAATCCGTTTAGAATGAGGTTCTGCTCTTTAGAATCGGAAAACTTTCAAAGGTCAAGCTGTCACTGAGTGGCAAGACTGTGCACTCTCTTCTGGAGGGTATTTCTTCATGGACTGACAGTTAAAGGCGTCTTACTTTCCATCCATATACAGGTCCACTCACCAGAAAGCAAAACATTTTTTCTTTGTTTTGCACAGTTTCCTACTACATGAAATAGGAAACTCTGCAAAGCAGGTATGTTCAGGATCTGTTTTTATTAACATAATAGCTTTCTTTTTACTCGGTAAGGATTTTACTTAATACAAAACAATCGCTTAAATTCTTAATACAAACATTGGTCATTATGACATAATACAAATGTATTTGCCTGCAACTCTGGGGGCAGATTAAAAAAAAAAAAAACTCCGTAAATCTTTTCACTTGTTCATTCCTGGTTCTTCAACAATGAAATCCGGTCATACTTTTCTATAAAATAACATTCTTTTTACAAATGCACTTTATTTAAAACTTTGATGATATATCAAGTTAATAACAAGAGAAACAAATCAATTTTGATGGAAGAGATCTATTTTTAAAAATACCTCTAGTGCTCTTTTAAACATTAACAACTGTTTAAAAATCACAGCTTTTTTAAAATGTACTATTCTTTTTTGAACATCAAGTGTTTTTCACAGATTTGCCGGTAAAATTAAAAAGATTTGGCTAAAATAGGTTGACTTCAGAAGATATAGTCCCAGCAAGTAAGAAACTTTGTACATTTGGCATCTGCTTTTGTCCCAGGTCACCAAGAAATGAAGAATCCCTGGTCACTCTGGAGCAGTAGGTGGCACAGGAAATGTTCCAAAAGAACAGAAGCATTTACAAGGTATCTGGGCAAATCGGTGGATCATTTCGAAATTTGACTTCCAAAGAAAAGTCATTTGGTTACAACAGTTTTAGAAGCGCTTTTTAGCCTAAAACAACACAAATAATCCCCAAATGCCTTTGTTCCTAACCCTTGATTTAAAAGTTTCTCAGGTGCCTGGTTATTGTTACCTTCCACCACTCTGAATTGAGTGCTGTTTTTTTTTTTTTAAATAAGAATAACTTTGATAACACAGGCAACTAATATAGAATTCATTTTATTCAAAGCACCACTGTTCACATAAGTTTTTTGAAAGTGAATTCTGATTCAGGAAAAAAATCATTCTCACCCTTTGCTTCATTTTCAATTCACTATTCACCATATTCTCCTTCCTTTTTTGTTTAATTGGTTGAGTTTTTTGTTGTTGTTGAATTAGGTCTCATTTGTTCAACGGCTCTACCAGGACCTGGCCCAGTATAAACACAAAAATGCACCCAAATCAAAAAACTACTCTTCTTTCAGTTACGTTTTATTTGTAAGTGTATTGGGACACATCCCCCTGTTGTATTTTGGCGCACAGAAATGGTTCTGATAGAAATGGGGCAAGAGGAAGGTGATCAAAAACATAACCAAGGAGAAAGCTCAACAGACATACATGGACAGGTAGATCAATTCGTGAGACATTTCAGGATTAACACTGGCGGTTTGTAACCACTGTGTGAGTGTATTAAATAAAATATTTACAATAATCTTCCTTTTTTCATTTTCCTCTAAATACAAGAATATGACAAGAATGCTGTGTTTTCAGTGGAAACAGGCAGTAGACTGTGAAATCACACTATCCACAAAACGGTCTACCAGAAAGCTAGCCCAGTTTAGTGCTCAGTTTCAAATGCATAGAATGTTTGCGCTGCAAACAATGATATACAATATAAATAAATAAATAAATAAAGCCTAACCAGAGTGAGACCTAATTGTGTTTTTCTTTCTGCATCTTTCAGATCATGCATGATTTTAATCTTGTTAAACAGCAGGTTTTTTTTTCCTTTCTCATTTGTTCTTCTTTTTTTTAGTTACAATTAAAGAATGGTAACAAACCATCTCCACATGAGATCCAGAGTGTTTTGTACACGAAGCAGGCATTTTACCTAACCACCTTCAACTGTCTTTCTCATTAAAAAACAAAAACAAAAAAAACCATCAGCAGCTTATAAAGTACCTTGATTATTACTATGAAATACTATACATGATTTTCTATTTGGGAGACTGATAGTGCAAATTAAAGTTTTTGCTACCCAACATTTATCCTCAGTAATAAATGATCCTTCAATAATAATGATGATAGCAATAATAATAAGGAAATAGTTGTTTTGCTTCCCTCCTCCCTACATGCAGATCTCTTTGAAATAAACAAGGTGGGAGTGGGAGGCTTTAAATCTGTCTTCCTCTCTTCTGGGATTTAGAAGATTTTCTCACAGCCAAGTTCTGCCCCAATGGAAAGCACAAACTTCTCAACATTGCAATGACTCCATCTTCTCCAAGAGAGGAGGAAAGGGGACCTAGAAGAGCAAGATGAGTCTTGTTCAGTGGAGAAAACGCCCAGGAGAGGCTCAGAGTCTCTCTCCTAAATATCTCCCACCCCACCACCCTATTTGAATCAATAGGGGAGAAAATCCGTTTAAAATAAACCTCACTCTGTAAAATAAAGAGCAGCTAAGGTGAAGTTCTTTGGGGGGAAAAGCTTAGTTTGAAACTGTCTGTTTTCTGTATCTTAGATACAAAAAAAAAAAAAACTTGTTAAAATTGTTTTATTTTCCTAGGATAATTTATTTATTTTGGAGGCCCTACATTCCACCTTCTTGTCAGCTCCAAGACTGCCTCACTCTCCCTAATGTTCCACAAGCGACACGGAGCCAGGCCACAGAGGCGTAGGCTGGGCCATTGCAAAGTGTGGATTCCACCTAACCATACAGCCTGTCTCCCAGTCCCAAACCCCTTCTTCAGCTGTGCCCCTACCCTCCTTCCGGTGCTGGACAGCAGCCATTGTGGTTTCATTTGAAGGCAAAAAATAAACCCAAGGAAGATATGAATGGGGTGGTGAGACTTAGAAGGGAAAATTAAGTCAAACACGCAGACAGAACAACTAGCTTTGCTACCCAGAATTTCACCTTCCGATTCATTTGGTTTTCAACTCAGCTCCTGTGTGCAGGGTTGGGGCGGTAGTCATCACCGGGCCTTGTCTCTTCCTTGGGGGTAAATGAAGCTGCAGATTATGGTTCCCCGGAGTTAAATTTCTAAAGCATTTTTCTTCACTTTTGTTCTGTTTTGTCTTACTTTGTCTTTATTTGTCTAGCTTTATTTTTTTTTCTTTTTTGGTGGTTGGTAGGTTTTGTTTTGTTTTTGTACATAGTTCCTTGGTCCCAGGAGATTCTGATAAGTGTCTCTGGTCAAAAACTGTCCATTTCCCTACCCTTCCCGGTCTCCCCCCACCCTACCCCCAGAACCATCCTGCTCCTCAGAACCCATGCCCATCTTCCACTCTCCTTCCCCCAACTTCCCACTCACCAAAGGCTCCCCCCTTCGGGCCCCTACAGCTTCTCTGTCTCCACACTGGGTCCCTGGCTGCTAGGCTGGGGGACAGGAAGGGCAGGGGGCAGAGAGGAGCGCGCAGAGGACCTCCCCAGTTGCAAGCAGGATAACGGACACTAGGAACCAAGGGGCAGCAGACCGGGGGAGCCCCCTCCCCTCCCACCACCAAGTGCCCCACGGCTCCTCGCTCTGCCCCGCCCTCAGTAAGTGGCGGAGAATTTCATCCGCTTCTGCTTCTGTCTCTGGTTGCAAAACCACACCCGCACCACGTTCTTTTTGAGGTCCAGTTTCTCGGCGATGGCGGCGATCTTCTCCGACGAGGGCCGGGGCTGAACTGCGAAGTAGGCCTCGAGGGAGCGCTTCTCAGGCGCGGCGATGGAAGTCCGCTTGCGCTTCTTCTCGCCGCCGTTGAAGAGCTCGGGCTTGTTCATTTTCTCCCGCTGCGCGCCCTCGGCCTCCTCGAGCCACGCCTGCAGGATGGGCTTAAGCGCGATCATGTTGTTGTGCGAGAGCGTGAGCGACTCGAACCTGCAGATGGTGCTCTGGCTGAGCGAGCCCACGCCCGGGATCTTGAGGTTGGCCAGCGCCGAGCCCACGTCGGCCTGCGTCACGCCCAGCTTGATGCGCCGCTGCTTGAAGCGCTCCGCGAACGCCTCGAGCTCGCGCGGGTCCGTGTCCGAGTCGCAGATGGACGCCAGGCCCGCCGCGCCCACCACGGCCGCTGCCGCCGACGCGGCCGCCACCTGCCCTGCAGCCGCTGCCGCCGCCGCCGCCGCCGCACCGTGGTGCGCCGCGGCCGCCACCAAGCCGGGGTGCGGAAGCCCGGACGGCATGTTCATGGCGGCCGCCGCCGCTGGGTGCGACAGGTGGCCCAGGCCGTGCATGTGCGGGTGAGGGTGCGCCGAGCCGCCCAGCAGCCCGCCACCCGGGCCGCCGCCGCCCCCAGGGCCGCCGCCGCCGCCGCCACCGCCCCCCGGGCCGCCGCCGCCGGGGCCGCCGCCGCCGCCCGGACCGCCGCCGCCCCCCGGGCCGTCGTGGGCGCCACCGCCGGCCCCCGCCGCGCCCGCGCCGCCAGCGCCGGCCATGAGCGCGAGCGACGGCGAGGAGATGTGGTCCAGCAGGTCGCCGGGCTCGAGCGCCTGGTGGTGGTGGTGGTGGTGGTGGTGGTGCGCTAGCGGCACGGTGGACGTGGACGTGCAGGGCACGCTGTTCATCGTGTGGTACGTGGCGTCCGGCTTGAAAGGGTGGCTCTTGCCCTGGGACACGGCGATGTCCACGGCCGCCAGCGCCTCGGCCCGCGCCAGAAGCGTCTCGTCCAGGCTGGCGAAGAGGTTGCTCTGCAGCTGCAGGCGACACAAACCAAACCAAACAAAACCACAAAACCAAACAAACAAAAAAAGAGCACAAACAGAAAAAAATAACAACAACAAAACGCAACACAACACGCACACACACACACACACACACACGCCGGAAAGCACAACAAGCAGAGGGCAGACACACAGAGCAAACCAAAATAACACCAAGGGCGGGATGGGGGACACAGAGGGGACGGGGCACGGGGGTGTGCAGAGGGGGCCACAGGAACACATTCCAGGGACGGGCGTGGGAGACGAAAAAGGAGGGGAGAAGAAGAACGAGAAATGGAGATGTAACTCGCAGCTGGGGACCCGAGCACGCACACACCGCCTTCTGGAGGCGCGAGATTAACAGAGAAAGTGGAGGGAAGTCCAGAGTCACGGCCCCAGCGCTCCCGGCTCCGGTCGCGGGCGCCCGGCGCGGACACGGCGGCGGCCGGGGGACACAGCACTAAGCGCCGCCGGACAAAACGTGCCTCGCCGCGGGACTCCGCCAACACCCCCTGCCAGCAAGTCCCCGCACCCGCACCTGCACCGACCAGCTCCCGACATGCAGCGTCTCGGCCAGGGGGAAGGGGCGGGCGCGCGGGCCGGGGCCGCGGGCGTGGGGGCGCTTACCGGCGGCGTGGGCAGGCAGGCCCGCCGGATGGCCTCGGAGCTGGAGTGCAGCGACGGGTACTTGTGCTCAGGGAGGGTGGGATGCATGGCAAAGTGAGGCTGCTTGCTGTTCATGGACATCATCTTGACGGCTTGGCATGTAAATCCAAAAACACTCCGAAAGTCCGCGGGAAAGTACGCACGCCGGCTCCCCCGGCCTCCCTTCCGAGGCGGCGGCCGAGGCGGCCGCGGCAGCTGGCGGCGACTGCGCCGCGGGCGGCTGCTGCTCCTGCTGCCGCCGGATGCTCCCTTGGACCGCGCAGAGCGCCGCGCGCCGGGCTCGCGTTCCCGCTTCTCCGAGAGCTCTAGCCCGGCGCGCCGACGGGATGCACTCCTCTTACACCTGCGCCCCACTTCTCGCGGCCGGCCCGGGGAGCTCTCGCGAGAGCTCACGGCCCCACCGCGCTGACAGGCATCAGCTGTCTCCGTCTGTCTGGCGCGCGCTCTCCCTTTCGGCGGCGCGGTGCGTCTGCGCGCGCGCGCGCGCTCCACCGGCAGCGACCGGCGCGTGGGAGCCACTCTTATAGTGACCACCGGCAAGGACAGCGCAGGTGATGCACCTGTAGCTGCCGAGGCATGCGCACTGAACGCCTCACCTTTCCCACCGCGGGTCTACAAAGATCAGAAGGGCCAGCTATTGTCTAAGGGTAGGCACCTTTAGAGGGAGAAAGGATGCGAGCACGCCTCTCTGTGGGTTGTTTTGTTGTTTTTTTTTTCCCCTGTCATCTCACGCACGGAATATATGCGCATTATTTAGGCACACCTCTCCGGGATGCCTAACAAGCTGTTATATAATGTATACAGCTGGGCATTTGTATGTTAAATTATGCCCGTGAATTCTTCTGTATACAGAGAAAAATAACAACCCAGAGATTCAGAAGGTGCTGTCTTTTGCTGCAAGGACCAGCTCCTTTCAAGGTGTATAAATATATTCCTGGAGAATACTCGTGGTGACAGGCATTTGTTTGAAGCAGTCAGACGCTATTGATTTCCATATAATCTAATTTCCTCTGCATACTTTGTTGCTGTTGTTGTTATTGTTGTTGTTGTTGTTGATATAGCTGTGTCAGGCACCGCCAGTGACAGCCACTTAGGAGCCAGAGGAGCGTGTGCTTTCTACTCGGAAAGGGATGTGTGCGTTTCTCGTATTGTTTGTCTCCTTTAACCATGTACAAGCCCACGTTTCAAACGAGCTTTGCGTGATCTGAGGCTTTTAGTAATCAAAAGGAAAAAATAGTGAACAGGGTGCAGCTTGGACCCTTTCCTCCAAGCGTGCGGGCGCGTGCACGCGCACACACACACACTTCCGAATGCTGGAAACTCCAGTAACAGGAGACTGCTTCAGAAAAAGATAAAATTTCTGTCCCTTCCCATCATTTTGGCTCTTTGCCTCTTACTTCTGTTTGTTTATATTTTTCCATTGAAAGTTAAGAAAGGATCAAGCTAACTTACAGGAAAGCGTGATTGAAAATAATTCAAACCAAGTTGAAAGAACAGGCATGAGCTCTGGTGCAGCCTTAATTCTGTTTTGTTTTGTCTTGTTTTGTAATCACTGTGAAATCAAGACCTAAGAAGAAGAGTAAATCAATTAGCCAACCTGTAATATGGCTCTTAGGTGGCAGGCAGATCAAGGACTTCCCGGGGGAGCCATAGTTCAGGTGCCCCGAGTCCCCAGAGATGCAGCGCTTACTCTGGGTGATAATAACGGCCCAGATGTTATCTCATCTGCGCAGGAGAGCTGCAGAGCTGCAAGGGGCTGCTCATGGGAGGCAGAAATCAGATGAGTAATCTTCCAGGTCTCTCCCACACCAAGGAGGTCTACATTTCCACCAGAGTACGAATCTCATTTCTGCAAACCTAGATCTGCAGTTCCCGTGGATTTTATCTTTCCTTTGCATGAACGCGTTTGTATTTAGCATACCCGCTCACCTACTCAGATTCCAAGAAGAGCCCACAGGCGTCACCAGGGTCTGCTGTGTCTGTTCTTTCCTGTCCTCCCACCCCCTCCCTTCCTTCCAGCCCAAGAGGGAAGTGAGAAAGATGTTCACTTGCTGGCACGATCGGGAGCCGCTTCTCCATTCATTACGCGATCCTCCAGGAGCGCTAAATGCAACTTTATCTCAGCAGGGAATGGACCAGGAGCAGGACGTCGCTGGATGGAGAGAGTGAGTCCTGTGGTACTCCTCACACCGGGTGTCCCGGCTTAACTTAATCCTTCCTGACACCCATCGCGGCCATTCACTGGTGCTCTCCCATGGGGCAAAAGGGTGGCAGTTGGAAGGGCTCCTGGCGAGGGCTGGTGCCTGGAGTCCTGCACTCCACCTCCCGGGAATCTCTGGCTTTTAGAGACCCTGAAGGGTAAAGGGCAGATGGAAACACAAATGCTGCAGGTTTGTGCCCAAGGTGGCCCTGCTGAGAGGGAGAGGAGCCCCCTAAATATCTCAAGCAGACTCTGGTTTACCCGTCAGCCTTTGGGAGGCCTTCAGTAACCCCAGCCTGGAGGCATGGCCTGGCCCGAGGTCAAGAGTCCACCATTTGTCATGGACTCTCTTCCTGGATCACCAGTCTTAGGGCAGTGTGAGAATACTTGTCCACCTGGCTGGGAGGTCAGATCTTTCCCCCAGAATATCTCCTTTTTGCTGAGGCTGTGAATATGAAGGCTGCAGGCAAAATCTTTCCTTTTCCTCCCCTCCCCCCAAGTAGAGTGGAAGCCCATCTAGGCCACATCTATTTTCCACCATTGCGTTTGTAGAAATAAATGTTCCCCGTCATACAACACGTGGGTATAGAAAGGAAAAGCAGTCAGTTGGAAGGGGCCAGTAGGAAAAAGAGGGGTTTCACCAGCAAGGACTGGTTGAGATTACAAGTGGATCATGGAGGAAGTTTCCTTAAAAAGAACACGAATTCTGGGGAAAGGATTGGCTGTGCGTGCGTAGGGCAGTGCATCTTGAATCTAGCTTGTTCTTTTTTCAGAAGCCTTTTTATTTTAAAGCCCCTGCCTCATTTACTTGCTACTGTGTTTTCCTTCCTCAAATGCTTGGGAGCACCGGCCTAACTCCATGCAAGCCAGCAGAGATACAATGAGTTAGACAATCTGTGTACTTGCCCTCCAGAAGCTGCCAGTCTGTGAGCTGGGGAAGCCACAGGTGAAAGGTGTTTACGATGCAATATAACAGGTGTGAAGAGAGGGAGTTGTATACAAATATGAGGTAGGGCGACAGCAGTGCTGGCAGGTGTCCTGACACATTCCTGAGGGGCTGAGGGGCGGGTCTGTAGTCAGCTCCTGTGACCACAGCAAGTCTTTCTCCACGTACAGTGGGACCTGGGCTCAACTCACCCATATGTCACTGCTTCGTTTTCCTGGTTTGGCAACTGCTGTAACTAGTTGGTCCCTGCCCGCGCAGATGATGCCCACATGGGGTCTGAGCTTTGGCAGAGATTCCTGGACATTCTTCTCCCTCTCCTTCTTGTTTAATGACCAACACAGATCGCTCCCCTCCCCACCTCCGTCCCAGAGCTGTGCATTTTATCAAGAGAGGGATAATGAATGCAAAGCTATTGATTTCCAAGGAATTTCCGCCCCCAGGGACAAGGAGTCTATCTTCTGAATCAGAAACACATTTCTTTCCCTCATTAATTAATTTTCTCCTCCTCCTTTGGCAGGCCTCGCTTCACATTTTCTTTGGCGTCGCCCCCTTCCCGAGCTCAGGGAGCAGCCCTTCCTTGGTTGGAGAGAGGACCGGCGGCAGAGGCGCTGTGCAAGGGCCCGTGCCATCTCCGGTGAATTCTCCTCGTCCCCAGCCCCACCCCTCTCTGGAGCGCGCGGCTGACAGCGGCTGCCTACTTGGGTGCTGCCTCTCTTTTTCCAACCGGGGAGCCTGGAAAGTTCGCCTTTGACTCCGCAGTCACTACCTCCCCTCCTCCCACCTATGGGATTGAACCGGGTTCACGTGTCCGAATATAGGCACTTGGGGTGGTCCCTGGGAATTGTCGACGAGAGCATAGAGTTTGTTTCGTGTACATGGGCAGGAGGCCGGATCCCCTGCTCTTTCTGGAACCCGGGAATGTGGCCGCACCTGCAGAGCCCGGACACTTTGGGTCCTAGCGGCTGAAGGCAAAGCTCGGCTCCTCGCAGACTCCTGGCTCTCCGTTTCTCTTAGGCAGTTGGTCAGTTTGCAACGAGGCCCATTTCACAGTGCAGCCAGCGCCCAGCGGGTACCGGAAACCTCCAGGGCCCAGAGAGGTCTGGCTGTAGGGGGCTGCTCAGGTCTTGAAGGGACAGGTATGGGAACCGCAGGTCCAGAGCAGGGCTTACGGGTCTGGGGCAGCGCGGAGGTGCAGCGGAGGAGAGAACGGCGCACTACTTTGGTCCCCAGTCTCTCATCCACTCCTCGTGCATCTCGGCCACGTTGTTCCCCGGCGGTAGCGACGGAGCTCCTTCAGGGTTCCAGCACCCGCTTCCCGGCTCCTGTTCCGCAGCGCCCACTCCGCCCGTCCTGGACGGCGGCCCGCGGGGCCCAGTGCAGTCCCCGAGGACTTAGTCCCCGGCCGGGCCTCAATACCTCTCGCTAGGGCTGGGAGATTGCCTGGAGGCCACAGTCCTCCCTCCCGGCCAGCCACTGCCCAGCACCCGCAGCCGCTCGCCCACCTGGGTCCCCAAGGCCAGGGGTGGGGATGGGAAGGGGTCGGGGGTAGTAAGGCCGTCCTCTTCTGGGGCTCTCTGGCATTCAAATTGGGACCGGCAGATAAGGTTCCCAAGTAAACCGGTAGAAATGCCTTTTCTTCTTTGTTTCGGCAACTTTCCCGGATCTGGACTACCCCGCCCCGAGACGTCGCTGATGACCTGGCGTCCCGGATGATGCGTCCCAGCAAAGTTCGATGCCCGGCACCCTCACTGTTGGTGCGCCATACGCAGAGCCACACTCGTGTCCGTCCCTCGGCCCCCATCTCTCCGTGGACATAAAACCCACCTACCCAGTGAACGCCCTGGGGGGGGCTTCGTGACAGCTCGGTCTCGCCCTGACGGGGGCTCGGCCTCCAGCTCCTGTTTGCCAGACGCGTGGCGCAGCCCGCGTGGATACCGCTGTACCTCGGGCCCCTGTGAGTCATGTCTCTCAGGGAGCAGAGGCGCCCCCGGACCCGCTGGGCTCTGCCCGGGCCAGCTCAGAGCTGGGCGAGCGCTCTGGGCGGAGCAGGGGTTTCCAGGTTCCCTCCCGAGTTAAAGCACCAAGAACAAACAAGCAAAACTGCCCAACCAGATGGAAGTTCTGTCCCCTTCCCTCGCCCCTCCTAGCCTCCTGCCGGCCGCTCCGACCCGGACCACGCACGCCCTAGTTGCACCGAGTTCTCCGGGAGAGGACAGACAGACGGCAGGAGACCCCTCCCAGGGGCCCACGAGCGTGGTTCCGAGGACCGAGAGGCCGTGGGGCGCCGGTCTTCCTCCTCACACTCTACCTCAG